GCAGAGCCAATACTGTGCACGAAATTGCTTACATCATCTATACTTGGCCTCTGGTTAATTGGCTGATAACTGGTACAACCATGACTACATATCACAAATATCCAAATGTTGGTAATTTGAGCTCACAGGCTTGGAACAATTTACCCAATGGACAGCTCTCAGTGCTGATTCTACCAAGACTTGGAAGTGAGAGACACATTTTGGAGTAAAATGGGGAGGTTGGTAAAAGTTGTTGCATGCTATTGACCTTTATAACAAATTGAGGCGTGCGCGATAGACATACCTCCACATGATGCTTCCTGGACAACGTATCTTCGTACGGAAAAATGACTATCATTCGGCATTAGATTTGACTTCGATTTATTATGATTAGCTTGAAAAAAGTCTATAAGAGAAATTACCCTCGTCAGGGCGAATTACAAAGTCTTCAGATCCTCCAGTGGAATGCTTGAGGGATGTCACAGGTCAAAAAGGTCCAAATTCAGAAAATCTTACAAACCTATGATGTAGACATATTCATAATTATGGGAGCAAACATTTCGGATGAAATAGTGAAGTTCTACCAGGTTCTAAGTTACACCCTATTGGCAAAACTGAAGTACTACCAATTCCCAGGTTACACCCTGTAGCAATCTACCTAAATACCGGCAAGTTGCAAGTGGAATTATAACTAATCTACCTAAATACCGGCAAGTTGCAAGTGGAATTCTAACCAACTGAAGTACTACCAATTCTCAGGTTACACCTTGTACCTCCTGAAGTACTACCAATTCCCAGGTTACACCCTGTGCAATCTGATACCGGCAAGTTGCAAGTGGAATTCTAACTGGGGTAAAAAAAAGGCCTCACCTCAAACTACGATCTAATCAAGAGTAAGGGCTTGACACAAGACGTATAAGAAATAATCAGATTAAATGTTTGGGAATGTCAAAACCACTTCAAGGTATATGCAGTCTATAATCCACCCCAGAATTGTCGAAAATATAATCCACCCCAGAATTGTCCCAACTTTAACTTTCTGAACATATCACACAAAACCATAGTATTAGGAGATTTCAACGCTCATTCCAACAGATGGGGCTACAAGAATACAAACATATCTGGAAAGAAGATTGAAGACATGCTCAACAGCAACCCTCTGNAATTTAAACACAAATATCTATTAATTGGACTGTCGTTTTCAAGATAAAGTTTTCTGAAATTGGATGAAAAATCTTGTGTTTATGTTCATGTTACCAAGAAGTTTTATTGATTTAAAATATCTGAGAATTATACTCTTTCTGAGAATTTGAAATCGAATCGAAGACAAATGCTTCTGAGATCGGAATCAAGAGTGCAAGTTTCCATTTTTTTTATTTTAACAATTCAGCATTTCATAATCCGGACTAGAAAAGAGGGGTGAGCGATAGATTTACCTCCACGTGGTACACACTGGTCAACTTACACGCTAAAAAAGTATATAAACCAGCAGTTGACTTTTGACTTCAAACTATCATGACCCCACTGTATGTAATATTCCACCACTTTCAAAGTACTCACTTCACCTTCTTCTCTACCATTATATCTGTCTCACTTACCTCTGTGAATCACTCTTCTGTTCTCCCTCTCAACTTTTGTGGCTTTGATATTCTCACTCATCTACGAAGCCCGACGTCAACTAAAGGGCTAATGATAACTATTAAAAAGCCCTCCAGTGGATAAAAATAAACTTAAAAAAAGAACTTAGTCGGCGTAGACCAAGATTTGTAAATTAACGGCATTTTACATTATCAAACTATATCGATTTCTAGCTGCCGTAGTCAAGGTGATAAGGATATGCATTAATTATCAGACTATTTGATGTGTTCTCTTGTTAAGACTTTAAAAAAGTGATATAATTAGAAGATTTCTGGTATTATTTCCCTTTTTATCAATTTTTCTTCTTACCATATCAAACAACGGCCTGTAAAATATCGCTTTTTAAGTAAATTTTTATTTATTCTACATTCTATTTTCTTAACAATTAGTTTAGAAAATCAATGCACTAATTCAATGGGACCACACGATTTAGTTATTTTAGCACCCAATCTATCCTTCACACCTACAACCTATTTGAGTACTGTCAAATCTCTCTCTTCTAGTGTGAATCTACTTTCACTCAAAGTTCGGTAGCTGGAGATTTCACATTTTTAATGCCCCTTTTAAAGTCATGGATCGCTAATTATCACATCAAGTAAAATAGATGACCATGGTTGTTGGTTGGCTTAAATTAAAAGGAAAGGGAGTAGAATGGGATTTCTCTGAAGCAGTGATCCCAGAACACCCTTACTTTCTCCGAGTTAAGTTCTATGTCTTAACTTCCAGTAGCGCTGTGATTAACGTGCTCGTCTGTAAAGGCAGAGACTATGAGTTCAACTCCCCTTCAGTGCGCATTCAATTAGCAGAATAGCCAACTCGAGTTGAAAGCTGCCAAAATAAACTTTTCCAAAAGATCCCGAGGTTAAATTTTAATTTATATTAAGCGATTTCAAACAAATTTGACTAACCTCTTTTGAATATCATTTATGTTATCCTCAACGGCATGGCGATTAAACCTAGCTAATAGCTTTTATTAAACCAGTTAATGACGGTCTAAATGTCACACGATATCCCCTTGACATTCAAATGATTTAATTACATGATATACAGTAGACCCTCCCTCAAGGGCTTAATGATGATATGCGTGTTGGAAGGTGGAGTGAGTGGGCAATATAACGCTTCAATTAAATTTTATCTTAAATGCAATCATTCACAGTGAAAACTTGCCAAGGAAAGTTGAGCTCCATTTAATTTAATTTATAATAAGATTAAAAATTCCAAGTTAGATTGAGGATTAGTAAATAGAAGAAGATTATGGGATGAATATTATTAGCAATTACATGTTTTCGTAAATACCACTGTTGTCTCAAGCAGCTAAATTCACCTTTATAAGGGGAATAAAAATATCAGACAATGCAAATAGAATATGCTACTAATTGGTATGATTACTGAAATAATTATAAATAAGATAGTTGTCGCTATATAAGTCTGCAAAAAAGTTTAAATATCAAATAATGACTCATCATTTCATCATAAAAATTAAATGTTGACAGAGAAATTCCTGGCCCAATGCTTATCTGTAATGCCATCTTCATTTAAAAGCTTATCAGATAGATAATCTATCATAGATCTTCTTGCTACATATGAGAATTACGATATGGGCTGCGATAAGTCGGTTGGTGGATTTGGAGTTATTTAGTCTCTAATAATTGACTGATAAATAGGGTTAATGTGTGAGTAGATACATTTTATATATTTATATTTACTCATAAACTTTGTTATTCTAGATCAGGTTCGACGCCCTCACTATCTATTTCACGTCCACATTTTTCTATCTTTCCCTGCATTCAATTTCAACTGACTTTAGAAAGTTTACCATTTCTCTAAGGGTATATCAAGTCTAAACTGGTATACTCCTTTGGGTATCTTTATTACCGGGATTAGGGTCACTCTAACAGCAATATGCAAATAAAATCAGTCAATATCGATCACAATGGGCAATAATGACACGAGAAATTACCTAACTGTCACATTTTATAACGAAACCGCATAAGGCTGGAAAAAATATTGAATTTTTTTATTTTCAATTTTAACCCCACAAAAGCAAGTGATTAAATAAAATGGTGCTAAAAGAAATATCTCGAGCAGAGTTGGAACTCGTTTTTTAACTTTACTGAAACAAGCTCAAATTGGGCGCAGATTTTCAAGGACACAGAGGACATGGCAGGAGATGTAAAATAAAAGTCTTAGTGAATTAGTACCATCCGGAATTCACTGACAATAAATTTGACTCCAATGACAATGTAAACGAAGAAATTTCAAAACTTACCTTACCGGTAGTGCGGATAATGCACTAATTAGCACTCCGCTAAATCTTGGTAGTCCTTTTAAAAGTTAAACTAGCTGAAGGCGGCTACAATTAAAACAAAAGCACTGGTACTATTTCTGGCTTATGTGTTCAAACTAGAGAGAAGATAGAATGTCTTGAGTGTGGTGCGTTTGCTGCTTCTAATGTGAACTATGAAACATGAATCGTAATTGTGTACATTTACTTTGAAAATATATGACTCCATGGTAAGGCATATGATCGATAGGGTGACCACAATTTCCCAAATATTCGAGGACGCGAGATTCCTTTTGTGCGTTTTGATAGCATTTATTGCTCAGCACCCACTTCCCATGCATTAAAATTTAATTGAATTAAGATTACGCTCAAAGTGACAAACTTTTTCATTGGTTAGCGTTCTCAAAATCAGAGTCCTTATAGATATAAAACATGCACTTTATATAGGATCTTCTTTTGTCGATCATCCTAAATACCTACATTTAGTAATATACAAATAAATAAATATATATATTCTTTTAACCAGTTACTTGCCATCCGTGATGCAGATTATATTATCTATGCGCTTGCTTTCAATATATTTTCAGTTTCTTTCAAAAAATCATTATTATCGAAAACATACTGAGGAAATTTTAAACGCCATTAGCAAATCTCAACTATCACTGTATTGAATAATTTGTTAATCATATTTGAGTCTGTGGAAACTCTGAGATAACCTGAAGTAAACAGCATCAGATTGCTGGGAAGTTGGAGCAAAACTTCGTTAATGTATTGAATCTGTTTCCTTCTCACGGAATCACTCATGCAAGACGACATAAATCTAAACCACACGGGGTATTCCTATGAAAAATGGAAAGATTTACCAAACACTAATCCTTAATCAAGCTTATATAATGAATTAATTAATTAATCAAGACCTTCACTTCTTTTAATTAGTATTTCCTTTTATCAAATAGCATATACATGAAAGAAAAATGGAGACTGAATATGTATACGTGAAGTTGGGGGATGGTTGTTGTATATAGCCTTTCTCAATACACACTCGATTCATCTGTACAAATAGAAGGTTAAATTATAAAGAAAGGAAGGAGAATTCGTATCAGATCACGTTATTAGAGTAATCGGAGTAAGTATTATTTCCAGAAACTTCGTTTCTAGACCGATGCACAAGCTGATCATATGGTGGCATGGTAGTTGAATCAGTATTCTTTCCTAAACGAGCATAATCATTATCTGCGTCAACAAAAGCTCTAGGTCCGCTTAGAAGTGTCTGTTCCGACGAGGTTTCAGGAGAATAGGTGCGAAGTTCATGAGGCTCCATTCGCCAACTGACGGATTGAGCAGACTTTTTACCACTTCCCGACCCCGATCTCCCCCCTCCAAGGTGGGTTGGAGTGTTGCGAATTTGAACGTATCGAAATGGATCCGCAGCAGTAACTCTTGATGGAGTAGATCCTGCAGTGTTAATTAACATTGTGTAGCATTGTTTTTCCTTGCCAGATGCTTCGGGATTTTGAAGATCACTTCCTGAATGCGTAGCTGGTTCTGTAGGCGTCAAAAACCGAAGAGTTTCTTGACCATGCCTTCCAGGAGGATAATAATTCGCGTCTACAAGCCCTTTAACTGATGGACTAACTGCTCTACCAACTAAAAGGAAAAAAAGAAAATAATAGTAAAATTTCCTTTCAAATCGAGCCATAACAAGAACGATAAATGGATTCAAAATCAATGATAGATAATATAAGTAACGGAGCTCATCGATATATTTCTAGATATGAATAAGTGTTTTGGACAAAAGCATGTTAGTGATAATTATAGAATCAAAAGCTTCAACGATGTAAGGAAAAATAGAAAGATAATTTAATATATAATATCTTATTAAATCAGTTGTCAATTAAACATCCAAACATTTATCAAATTATTCTTTCATTTATTAAAAAAATTCAACTCTTAACTTATAAAGTTTTCTGTAAGGCGATTATTCGTTGATAATTTATTCATCACTATCAATAAAAATAGATTGAAATATTTTGCAATCGATTTATTATTGATAATCCTTTTATTCAAAAATCTCCATCGATATCTTGAATTCAGACACCTTGAAAAATTTTATATTCACTTTCAATTGTCCAAAATAGGGCGAGTACTTACTTAAATGAATGCTAACCAGGCATTTTGAAAATATTCAGTTTAATGCGTCTTTCCTATTTACGGTTAGATAATTATCAAGTTAGCTATTTCAAGTGATTTTGACGTTATTCTAGAAGTCATCAATGAGTCAAGTTGACCTAATTGCTCTGTTATAAATTAAATTTTGATTTACTCCAGTTATTACTTATTCATTAGTTGTTTAAACAGTACCACCACCTCATTTCTATCTACTGATAAATCGGATTTGAGCACAGTGGACATTCACTGTTAAGCAAAATGTGATGCACTGAATTCCAAACTCCTATCTAAAATTATGACACCAGGTTATGAAGGTAGCTCTTCTTCTTAAGTATAACCTATATTTTGATTAAATCAAAGTTTGTCTAAAAAGTAATCGTTTTCAATTTACTATATTTCACACCAAAATTGGCTGTCTTTTGTGATCAGTATTTAGATGCCTTTTCGCCATTAAAAAAGGTTTTTTTTCAATGGCTAAACTTGGAATTGATTGAGCCAACGACAGATAAATGAATCATTAGTACCTAAGTATTCAATATCTAACCAGATACCACCCATCTTGCCATAGAACGGTTATGAGTCTAACTAACTTACGTTTAGGTCTCATCTAAGAGAATAGGTTCGAAGTCCATTTAAGATAAAAAGGACATATTTTATAAAGCATGGATTGAAATTTTCTATTAAAATATCCTTGTGCTTAACCTGATACAACTTTGAGATGACAAATGCTTTTAAACTTTTAACAGTGAATAGCTTTTTAATTTCAAAACCTTCATAACATTACTTTCTTAACATTGCTAATTAATGTAATGTTACGAATTCAGCATGTGCTTCGTTAACCAATCAACAGAACCAAATCCAAGGTACTATTAATTAGATCAAAACTAATTGAATTAGACAGCAAATTATCGAGTGGTCGGCAACTTCCGCGTGTATTAAACAGTAAAACCAGAACCACACTCCAACTAGCATATTTATTTGTATGGTGGTTTCGAATTCTCTTTTAGCTGTTTTGGGACACATTAGTCTGACATTTGCAAATAACCATGAACCTGGGCACAAAAAAGATGCCCACGTAAAGTTCACCTTTTTTAAACAAAAAAAAACATGTAACTTACGCGTTGCAGCTTTAACGCGTGTAGTGGTAGGTGTGCAGCCGGAGTCTGTGGTGGTGTTCTTTTTCAACCTCCGTGTACTTCTTTTCTGAAATAAGTGAAAAGAAAATATGGATAAATATATAGGTTATTCGATATATCTATTTGTCAAAATCTTCCATATTTGCAACTTGAATTTGAGGCGAAATAAATGTAAAAATCTTAACTGACGTCTGACGTGAGGTTGAAAAGAAAAAAACGGGTTTTCTACATCAAAATTGATTTTTTAAAAGTTATTTCGGCGAGGGGGAAAGAAGGAAGTAATTTTGAGGTTGTCAAACATTCAATTTTGGAAGTCCACTGCAAAGGTAGTGCTGTTTTGACTTATAAATTTAACTAATTGCATAATCGAGTTTTCATTCCCTAGAACAGTTTTTAGCTAATGCTAATTTTCAATTTTGGAAATAAAATTTATAACTCGTTTGAAGTATTTTAAACTTGTGTCTCAAATGGACATTTAGTTTATTCTTTTCTTCTTCTTGAACTCCACGTAGGAAATTGGTAATCTATAGAGAGTGACAGATCTCCACATAACGACGTGATAAACTTCTGTTGAGAAGCCATGACCTGAGTGTCATCAACTGTTTCCTGTTTGTTACCTGAATGAGCTGCAATGTGAGTTGGTTAAGACGTGGCTCTGTACCTTCTTCCAGTTCAATACACTTTCGAATAAGGTCAACTGAACCGGGTGATTGAAGTATATTTTTGACAATTTCAAATGGCAGAGAAAAGGCTAGTGTGTGAAATGCCACTAATTATCAGCAACTCAATTTTCAATTGGCCAATGAGGATATGATTTTGAGGTAATTTTTTCGTCGTAATACTAGGTGTTTCCAACATAATAGGCTTAAAGATTCAAAATTTCGAAAATTGGTAAAAGCGATTAATTTCAACTTTTCATGGCCTATATGTAAATGACTTCCAGTTAATCACCTTAAAATATGACTGAACAATAATTCGAAGTAATAAAGTCAGAATAACTTATCCATTTATACTAACGATTATTTTTAATTATCGTGCCATAAAATTACGCGCTACCCATGGGAAATAATACGAAATAGTATTTTCGATGTTTTTGTTTTGCATAAAATCTGTAGAAATTGGCTGAGTCATATAATATGCGATAGGAATCTGTCCAAACCAGCTAGAATTGCTAATAAAATGAAAAAAAGGGGAACAACTTGTTTTAAACTTTTCAAAATAGGCCATTATAGCAAGAAGTTGGGAAAAGATATTGGCGTTCGATTTTCTCAAATCAATAGCCCTTGACAGTTTTCAGCTGAATCTGTTCAACTTCCTGGCGTCTTGACAACCCCTCGTCCAATATAACAAAAGATGATCGGGGTTTGTGACTGCATTTTTTGGCCAGTAGTGGCCACTTTCGCAACTACAGGCTTTCAAGACAAAAAAACTCTTACAACTCGGAATGTAGTAAAAATAGTAATTTAGTACATCACGTACAACAGAGGGAAAGGTCAAATAAGTTAAGCTTTTTCAACATGCCTCTCCCGAATTAAATATAGAGCCTCTGTTTATGTTTACCATTTTATACCGAATATTCGTAGTTTTCAGGGGGGAGCAGCAAATAAGTGAAGAAAATGTATTCTTAAAGTGCAAATATTTCTAGACTTTGTAGATAAAAATTGTGAAAGTACTTTTATACCCATTGTATCGATATAACAAGCTTGTGAGCAGAACATGAACTTCAAAAAAGCAATTAAATTTCGCTTGCATTTTAAAGCTATAAGTGCATTTTGCATTTATTTCTTAATCTATTTTAATTTTCCTTCCACTAATGAATTAATTGTGCCTAGTTTGAAGAAATTCTATTTTGTATCCCCAAGCGAGTTTAATTTTTTGCGCTTTTCAAATTTGAAGCCATCAAAATTGAATTTTCGAAACTGATCGTACTTGGAGACATCAAAATAACTCAGGGTAAATAATGCCCCTCACCCCTCCCCCCCTCATTATGAGAGGAGGATTTGATTTTTCATTTTGAAAAAATCTCCAAGAGCACAAATAAAGCAAAAAAATTCTGAAAATTATTTTTAGCTTAAGATGTGTTACTATTTTTGGCCATAAAATGGTGTAAAAAAGTGATTGTCAACTATTTTTTCTTAAACCATTGTTTGCGAGCCCTTTGTCAATGCAATTCAAACGTAAGGGTTAAATTTAAAACCATCGTCGATTTAGAATAGTAGGCGATACCTCAAAACACGATTTTCGTCCAGCACGTAGATCTTTAAATAATTAAGAAGAGCGGATAAGGGTTCAACTTACTGTGGACTGGGACTCGTCTTCGATATCACTTTCACTTCGATAACCATTGGACGCAGTTGTGAGCTGAGTAGTTGAAATAGCAGACAAACAGGAGGCGCTCTGCGAAGTTCGCATATTTTGTCCCGTGTCACCGCCTGGATCTTGCTGATTCTGTTGCATTTGCTGTTGGTGACGATTATGGGCATCTAAGCGAGAAAATAACAAAAGAGGGCGTCATGAAGTAGTCGGCATCGCTTCCTTATTCCATCTCTCCCTAAGGCCTAATTCTTGATAATCTAGTACTTCTCAATCTGCTCAGAGTCATCGTAAAAGAGCTACATATATACTTATGTAAGGCCAAAAAGGCGCGTAGCATATAACTACGCCCACATCGTTTGACTCTGCTTTACGGCTCCTTCAATGTCACGCTACTGGACTATTTCGAATTTCTGAGTTTGTGGGAAACAAGTGTTCTTCGAACAACCACAATTTTTTAAAGTGCAGAAAATAAAAACTGCACCAGCGTTGAAATATATATATATATATATATATATATATATAGAAAATCAAATTTTTGCTATTTCCACTTGTCCTTCAAAGTTTTATTTCGCAACAATTTGAAATCTTTTTTTCGTTAAATAAACTAAACTAGCCAATAGTTACAATGAAGCATAAATGTTCCCGGAGACAGAATCAATTACGTTTAGACATAGCGATAGAGTTTTCAAGAGTCTACTAGCAGAATTTGCTTCCTCAACGTGCTTCTCCTAAGCTTTTGGTTAATTCATTTTCCCTTCATGGCATTGTAAGGGGAAAATATAGTTTAGGTACATTGCTTTGCTTTCCCTGAGTCTGGACTGCAATAGCCACAGCAAACCCCACTAAATGAAATGCGAATCACAGACAATATGGCTGACTTTTGTGCTCATAAAAAGAAATCGCAATCTTATAATGCATAGTTAAAGATTCAGTGTAAATTTAAGTTGAAAATAAAATGCCTTGTGGTAATTATTAGAATTCTACACTCCGAAGATTATCGACTTTTAACTAAATTAAGATATTTGTCTGCCGCATTTCAGTGATCCGTATTGGCATATGGAAAGTTTATTTGCAAACTGCCTTAATTAAAAACTAATTGTTTAGTAAGTTACAGATGCCTACTTTTTAATGATCGTTGCATGGGTGGACAATTTCCTTGCCCAATATATAATCGAATTCCCATTTAGAAAGCAATGCCACTTTGGTGGCGAGGAGTGGGGTTCAAAGATAGTCTTTATTACCATTTCAACATACAAATTAGCTAGAAATAAAATAAGTTGGTATAATTAGGCCTATAATTTAGGCATGTAATGGATCGATATTCTAAGGGGAGCTGAAGGTGAACTAAATTTGAGTTTACAAGTTCGATATTAAAATAAAGAAATTTACCTGACACTTGTTATTTTTAATCAACAATTGCATGGATAACTGGATTTCAGTTAAAGGCCAAAGTTAATTATGAGACTTGCAAGAAGTATTGATTTTTTGGCAAATTTTCAGAAGAACTAAAGTTAATTTTTAACAGGAACGAGTCAGCCGTTCCATATAATTGGTATGGGTTACTTTTCGAGCACACGGTAATAAAACTGCAGTTTTTTGCACGTTAGGAGTGGCTGGTTGGGGTGGGGG